CAAGATGTCCAAGCTGTATTTAGAAAAGGCATAGGAACCAGAGATCAAATTGCCAACACCGCTGGATCATCGAAAAAGCAAGAGCGTTCCAGAAGAAATCTACTTCTGCTTTATTGACTGTGCCAAAGCCTTTGACTGTGTGGATCACAATATGTATGGATGTGAGAGTTGGACTATAAAGAAAGTTGAGCACCAAAGAATTGATGCTTTTGAACCATTGTGTTGGAGAAGACTCTTGAGAGTCCCTTGGAGTGCAAGGAGATCCAACCCATCCATCCTAAAGGAAATCAGTCCTGAATATTCATTGGAAGGACTGATGTTAAAGCCAAAACTCCAATACTTTGACCACATGTTGTGAAGAGCTGACTCATTTGAAAAGACCCTGATGCAGGGAAAGATTGAAGGCAGGAGAAGAAGGGGATGACAGAGGATGAGATGGTTGGATGGCATCACTGACTAAATGCGCATGAGTTTGAGTAAGCTCCACGATTTGGTGATGGACAGGGAGGCCTGGCGTGCTGCAGTCCATGGGGTCACAAAGAGTCGGACACGACTGAGCGACTGAACTGTACTGAACATTCAAAGCCTCTACTCTTCATGTTCTGTGAATATTAAACAATAAACATACATGGATTTCAATCTGATACATAATAGACTAAAACAGAACTTGTAGTAATTTGATATAATCTTATAGACATTTAGCTATTAGGGATTTAATGTAGAATTACTAATGTGTAAACATCACATGTCCTTTTCCTCTCTCCTCAAAGTTATTGCACTAATATTTACAGTAGTCCAAGACAATCAACCAGAGAAAATCTAAATTCAATACTTTAGCAGACTCTGTCTTGGAGGCTTGCATTTAAAGCAAATAACCATGTCATATTGGAACTGTCCTCACCTATGTAATTTTCTTTTCCTCAATGCTTTTCTTCTTTTCTTTCAATGCCAAGTCTTATTGCTCTATAGTGTTTGGGAGTTTAATTTGTGCTGCTTCAATTAACCACAGCATAAGATTCACATGGGTTTAAGTTAATAAAAATTCAAGGATTGGCCATTTTTTTCTGTAAAGAGCAGATTGGTAAATATTTTTTTAACTCTGCCTCCATATGTTAAAGTAATCATGGACATTATGTAAATTGGTGTGTGTCTACATTCCAAAAAGTTTTTTTATGGATACCAAAATTTGAATTCCATATGATATTCATGTGTTATTAAAGAGTTTTCTTCCTATGAGTTTTTCCAACCATTAAAAATGTAAAGTCATTCCTAATTCATAGTCCATTACAAAAATTGGCAGCAGGGTAGATTTACTCAAGTTCAGCAGCTTGTAGACCCTATTCTAGTGCTTGAACTAGTACCTACATTTTCAAAAATAAATTTATGGGAAAATCATTGTGGTTCTTGTAATTAGTAGTAAAGGATAACAATTAAAAAAAAAATATATATATATATGTAACACTAAGAGCTGTGTTTTTGCTTTTCTTCTGTTCAATAAATTCTTATTGCTGTTTTCATTTAGGTTGAATTTTAAGTTTAATTCTTATCATTACTATCAAAAAATGTAATTAGCACATTCCCATATAGGGATGATACCTATTTTTTCTTGTTTTATCATTTCTTTTCCAATACAGGTAAATCTTTTTTGGTATTTAACATTTCACTTTTAATTAGCCTTTATATTTAGATCTTTTCAGGCAACCAAACTGTAGGCTATATTCTAATTATCCACTTGGCCCCACACTATTTGATGTGACATAAGAGTTAAACATTTTCTTTGGGGAAAATAAAAATTTCCTCTAAAATAATTTTAATTAATATGTATAATGAGAGTTTTCTAAACACTGCTTCAAATGAGTGAGGTGATAAGAATGCTAAGTTCTCAGTAATAACTATTACCAGAAATGATTGTAAGTTGAATTGATACTGTGATTAACAAATTAACAAATTATCTAGTAGTTAAGTCACTCAGGATTTGAAAAAGTTCTCTTCTCAGTTCTTTGACTAATAACAATGCAGCATTCACTGACATTCTCTCAAAAAATGATGTTTTATTAGTTCATCTAGGTCTCCTATGATATTTGTTATTTTTCTCTGGTAAGGGTACTTCTGAAAATTACATAAGGAACATAAGCCCATCTTTGTTTGGGGCTTCCTAGGTGGCGCTAGTGGTAAAGAACTCACCTACCAATGCAGGAGACAGAAGAGATGGGGATTCCATTCCTCTTTGTTTACAGAGCCACTATTATGTAAAAAAAATACTATTTGCATATTACTCAACTTTTTAGGTAAGTAATAACGAGACCTTTATAAAATGCATAATACCTTAAAACCGTCACTGCATCATACAGGGTATTTCCATAGTCGTAAAAACTCCCCATTCTCTATTCATCCCCTGCTCCCACCCACTAGACACCACTGATATTTTTAGCAGTGATCTTCAACATCTTAGCACCAGGGACCAGCTCTGTGGAAGACAATTTTTCCACGGATGGGGTTGGGGATAGTCTGGGGATGATTCAAGCACATTACATTCATTCTGTACTTTATGTTTATTATTATTACGTTGTGATATGTAATGAAGTAAATATACAGCTCTCTATAATGCAGAATAGGAGGGAGCCCCCAGTTTGTGTTCCTGAGATCAGGCAGTAACCTGAGTGATGGGGAGTGACTGTAAATACAGATGAAGCCTTGTTAACTTGCCACCACTCACCTCCTGTGTGGTCAGGCTCCTAACAGGTCATGTACTCGTTCCTGTCTATGGCCTGGACGGTTGTGAACCGCTGTTTTTAGGATCTCCATAGTTTTGACTTTTTCTTGTGTGTCCTACACTTGAAACCATATGGTGCAAAACCTTTTCAAACTAGCTTTTTTTAACTTAGCAGTATGCACTTGAGTTTCTTTTCATGGCTTGATAGCTCATTTCCTTTTAGCTCTTAATAATATTCCTTTGTATGGCAGTGAGAATTCAGCTAAGCTACTCCTTAGTACGACTGCCTCAGCATCCATTTTCTTTGACCAAGTGGACTGCAGGGACCTTAAATTGACACTAGCCCCTTCATGTTAGTGCATACCAGAATAATGAAGAAATATATGTTCCTGGTATGATTTCCTCAACAGCCCTTGTGTTCAACAGTCTTCCTAGATAAGATCCCTGGGAGGCTTACCAAATTCCTACTCCTTGGTTTGAATCGACCAATCCAACCTTAGCTTGGAAACCCCAAGGTACTCATCCATGGATCCTAATAAGGCATTTGCCTCAGGTCCTGCCTTGCCCTATCTGTCTGTATTCCATCTTAACCTTCCTGTCTGGTCTCTGGAGGCATGCCAAGTATCAATACTTCCTCCAGGTCCTATGATTAATAAACTTCTTTATTTCATTTTTTCATATGATCTCTTATTGAACCATGGCTTACCCATTTAATAAATGTTAATTTATTTTTTGGAAACATAGTTGACATACAATATTGTATTATTTTTCAGGTGTATATCATAGCAACTTGGTATTTTTATATATTACTCTCCATATAAAGTTATTATAAAATATGGACTATATTTTCTGCATTGTACACCATATGTTTGTTGCACGTTTATTTGTACCTAATATTTTGGTACCTCTAACCCCTTTCACCTATTTGCTCCTCGCCCAACCCTCTTCCCTCGGGTAACCACTAGTTTGTTTTCTGTTATCTGTGAATCTATTTCTGTTGTGTTTGTTCATTTGTTTTATTTTTTAAGACTCTAAATAAAAGTGAAAAAATGCAGTATTTGCCTTTCTCTGTGTGCTTTATTTCACTAAGTATAATACCCTGCAGGGACATCCATGTTGTCACAAATGGTAAAAAACAGCCATAGTAGATGGATATATACTTTTTTTTTTAATATCTAGTAAACTACTGAAGGGCATCTTGGTTGCTTCCAAGTTTTGGCAATTACGAAAACAACTGCTATAAACGTCCATGTGCAAATTTTTGTGTAGACATCAATGTTCAACTCCTTTGGGTAAAAATCATATGATTGTATGGTAAGGGCATGTTTAGTTTCATTAGAAACCACCAAACTGTATACTAAAATGGGCATTAAATTTTGCATTCCCACAAGCAATGAATAAAAACTGTAACAAGGCCATTTATGTAAAACATGCTCCAGAGACTCCCCTAAACTCACATGTTTTATATTCAGAAAAACAGGATAATAATTATGTTAAATATGGATAATGCAGTATGAGGTGCCTTTTACTTAGTTTAAAAATTAATAGTCTATTCTGTCAATGCATTTAAAGTACTTTGATTTAAAAATACATTATAAAGTAATATGAATGAAAAAGTATATACAGATATACACATATTTAAAAGTATAAACATACCTCCCACACACATATACAGAATCAGAGAATTGTGTACATATATACATACGTGATGTTTAGATAACAATAATGTTATTTTCCACTTCCTATTTATTTTTTAATCTACAAAAAACTTCCAATTTTATTACTTCATTTAGTTTTTTATATCCATGCTGTATTATCCATTTTTAGGTATAGAAACAATCAGAAAGATCAAGTTAAATCAAGATGACAGAGTTAGTTAAGTGGCAGAAACATAATTTAACCCTTGTGGTCTTCTGAAAACAAATCAGATACTAATTTCCATATCTCGAGGCTCATAACAAAACACAAATATGCACACATACCCATGAACACAAACACAACCATACTTACAAGGGCACACACACAAAATTTGAAATATATCATTTAATACTCTATGTTCATCTCCCTCTTAGTAGATATATTATAGAACGTTAAGTTAACCTAACCTTCTTAAATATTGTACCCATGGTTCTAATTACTATAAGTGACTTTTTCTTATAATCTATTTACTGTATTACTTAGCTTTTTAAAGTTAGAACTACTTGTGGAATAAGAAAAATGGATTGAGTGATGGTGACTTAAGATGGTCTTGGTTTTGGCCAAATCAGTCATATAATTAAACCATTACCTTAATAACAGATGTCTCGACTCTGGATGGGGGACTCTGAACTTGTGCTGCTGCCGCCATATTTGCAATGGTGCTAAGATGGTTCATCTGGCTCATTGCCATGGTGACAGATGCTGGAGGTAGGCTGACAGGAATTAGAGGGTGGGGCATCATCATAAAAGGGAGCTCCAGTCCTGTAAAAAATACACATGTATCATCATCTCTCTATTCAAATAGAACGATGAAACATAGTATATCTCACTAATTAAAATGGTTAAGAACATAATCATTGAAAATTGAAGCATTTAAAAATGTTCTAATAATAACAAAGGAAAAATATTTGTCCTCTTGTATGCAATAATGCCCATTTATCACTCAGGGAAATTAAAGTAAAAACTAACCAGTTTGGTGCCATGTTTTATCACTCACCACTCTTCATTGGTTTTTAATATAAACAGTTAATTTTTTGCTACATTATTCTGATCAGTCTAATTCTTGTTTTAAATACTATGGTTTTCTTTATCATAATTAACTATCTAAATGTAATATACATTTCAATTATGTCCTATATTTTACTATCTTATCATTACTTTTTTTTCCCTTTACAGCTATTATTTTTAGTGCTAAAAAATGCCATCGTACCATTTGGCAGAAGGTGGCTCTGCTGAAGATGGTGGAGAGGATGACTAACTGGAAGGCTATGCACTCCAGGTATGCGGGGGTGGGTAACAGAAGCCTGAGATCCCTGGGGTGGGGAAGAGTACAGTGTTTCTTTATCCCAAGAACCATCACTGCTGCCTGTGGGGAATGAATATAAATTATTTGTCTACAGTATTATTCCAAATCTTCTAATGACTAATTTTAAATGATGTTTTAAAAAACATATCACATTTGGAAAATGGCTAAGTGATTTCTTGGGAAATAAGCTCAAGTAGATAAATTTCTCCTAAACCGTATTTTCTTTTTGTTTTTCTATTTCTTGAATGTGGTTTTTGAAAAATGACATTTCTACAATAAGTAGCCTATGGGTGGGGTTTAATACTGTTTGACTAACCAACCTAATATAAAATTGACTCTATTATATACCTAGAGGATTCATTACCACTTGGGCCTGAATCACAGTGATAGTTATAGAATGCAAAGTTATCCTTGCTTAATGGAATCCTAGTCACCCTTCAGAGTTAAGGTTCCTAACTTAATTCCTCAGCAAGTGCTAAACATGGAATTATTAAATGCCCAACTTGATTAGATAGAATACAGAGAACCCAAAGATCACTTTACAAAAGATAATAATATCAAAGCAATAAATTAAATGTATTCGTATCAACATCTCCTGTTTTCAATTACAGAGAAACAAGTTTATAATTGTGGCAATACCAATGCCAAAGTCAGAACGGTGCATTTGAGGGCATGCATTTTAAAATTGTGATAGTGTTTTGGATCAAGAGAATCCTGAAACACTTAATAGGATACTCCTTGAAAGATTTTTATCTATCATTTTAATGTAGGCATGTTCTCAGATTAAATTATTTTAACATTTATTGCTTAACTGAATCTACTGAATGTACAAACTACCCACTTGAAAGAAATTTTCTGTAATATCCCTATTGGTTTATGAGTTTCCATTTCTTAAAAAGGAAAAGAAACCATCTTTTCATATAATATGCTTAGAAACAGCAAAATTGGTAAAACTCCAATTTAAACACTTTAGCTCTATTTAAAGCCTCATTGTAAAATCTCTACGACATAGTTTTTAATGAAGAATACTTAGTTATTGCCATGATTTTTTCCATTTACTTCATGAAGACAGTTAAGGTTCAATATAAATTCAAACTCATTAGCTCAATACTGTCTGGATCTTAGAGTAAATTGTTCAGAAGTGGGTAATGAAAACTCAATTCAAATTCTTCAGCAATCAAACAAAGCAATTTTATTAAACAATTCAAAGAATCAATTAAAATGAATATCTTTCTTATCTATATTATTTTACAAGAAACCATGACAGTTTTTGGCTTAATAAAGAAAAAAGAGGAGGTTTATAGCTTCATACAAAAGTGACTCACATAAGAGAAATTTCTCCAACTTGCTGCTACGTTATGATATAAAAATTCACCTCTATTTTCACAAATTTATACAGCTTATTTCTCTACTCATGACATTTTCAATACTGTATAACAAGGTCCTAGTCAAACATGGAGAAGTTATAAGTATAGAAATTTTGAACATATTACGTCAATAAAATATTCAGTGATAAAACATCTGAAACATTTTCACTTTATATTGCCATATCAAAGTATGTACAAAAGTCTTCATTACTTATTTACTTTTTATGTTATCAGTTAAAATAAGATTTAAAGCATAAATACCAACTATTTGGATATAGAAATAACCCTTTGGAATAAATGTTATTTGAATATGAAAATTGCATTGGAAATTTATATATAATAAATTATTTTTTCCATTTCATTTAAAATACCCAAGGACAAAAACAAAAAAAAATATCCAAGGACTACATTTTCACATTAGATCACATTTTTGAGGTTAATTAACTAATAAATGAAAGAGGGAAAATTTTTAACATTCATTATTTTGGACTGAATTTGAGTTCTGCTTATACCTATTACCTATTTCTCTGTTCAGTTGAGCCAAATTCTTTTATGTACATCTTAATTACTAGTTAATATGTGGGAAAAAGACATTTTCCAAAGATACTTCAGTTTCCCTCTCAAATCAGTAGAGAAGCACTTATAATTCTATTTTTTCACATTATCAAGTTATAAAACATAAAGTTAAAATTCTGATTAAATCATCCTGATGAGAGATTATAGACAAAATCCTACCAATTTCCACATCTCTTTTGGATCATGAGATATCAATCCTTGTGTAAGGGTAACTATCAATCGTCCGTATGAGAATTTTCCATAGATTCGATTTTCTTACTACATAAAATGCTCCTAGCCATCTCCGCCAATCATCATTTGTTAAATACTCATGATGTTAACTCATTTGGGTAATAAATAGAGCAAACAATTAAGAAACTAAGTCTGATGAAAAATATACAATATATAACCAAGTCAGCTGTAAGTGATTTTTGCATAATTTATAACATCCTGCTCCTCTATTAGCATGAATAAATAAGAATTGAAAATAGGCCATTTCAGAACAAGACGTGCCCATAGTTATTAAAGGTATAATTTTCAACTGCTTTGCTTTAAATCAATATATTTAATGATATGAGCCAGTATCTACATATGAGCCTACACACAATCATGCATATGCATATATACCTTTGAGATTAAAGTTTATTATTAAGTCTGAATGAAAACTTACAGGAGACAGCAGATTTCCTATAAAAGAAAAGTCCCAACGTGGTGAAGGTGAAAGTCGCTCAATTGAGTCCCACTCTTTGCGACCCCCTGGACTATACAGTCCATGGAACTCTCCAGGCCAGAATACTGGAGGGGGTAGCCTTTCCCTTCTCCAGTGGATCTTCCCAACCCACGAATCAAACCCAGGTCTCCCACATCGTGGGTGGCTTCTTTACCAGCTGAGCCACAAAAGAAGCCCAACATGTGGTAAGGGGAGTTGTAGAGACACAGAAAAGAACTGATCTCTCCTCTTTCATTCTAGTGGAATCCCACCATTTCTTTGATTTTACACTGGAGTACAAATAAACCTTGATCTAGTCCTAGTAGCCTCAAAGAACATATACTATAATATAGAGCAGAGGCAAGTGTGCAGAAACTCAGACATTTGATAAATGTATAAAATGATTCCAAACCAAGAAAAATGGTCATGAGCTTGTGAAAAGGCTCAGCACATCTTCTGTTTGATTATTTAGACCTCATATGGATATCTTAATGTGTTGGGGGGGGCAGGTAGAAAAAAAGGGAGAGACAATCTCCCATACCTAATCCTAAACAGAGATTGTGGAGAATCAGTGGGAGAACCTCAAGGTAGATACCTGCTTACACAGGTGGAAATAAATCTGTGCTCTGACTAACAGCAGAACACACAGGCAGCTATTATATGATGAAATTAAGTTGTGTAACTACAAGCATCAGGCAGGCCAGCTCCTAATGTGTGCTTTGGTGTGGTTTGGTGGATAAAGAATTAGCAAATGTATTATTTTCCCGCAACCAGATTAGGTGGGCATTATGAATGCAAGAGGAAAAATTGAAATTAACACCTGTCTAGCTAAAAGCTATTTATTATGTATTTATATAATCTGAAACAATTTATTTACTCTGCTTAATTATATTGATAGCAAGAATATATCTATTATTACATATATGCAAACATATGGAACTTATATACAAAAAGTGATTGTGTGTGTTTAGCTTTCTTTCCTATAAAAGCTGTGTATTTATCATGGATAAATAAGATGATTTTAAGGTTTTATTGTTGTTTAGTTGCTAAGTTGTGTCCTTTCTGTGACTCCATGGACTAGCCTCACCAGACTCCTCTGTCCATGGAAATCCTTCAGGCAAGAATATTGGAGTGTGTTGCCATTACATCTTCTCCAGATCTTCCCTACCCAGGAATTGAACCTGCATCTCCTGCATTGACAAGCAGATTCTTTACCACCAAGCCACGTGGGAACCGTGATTTTTCAGTTCAGTGTTACTGAAATTTAAGTTCATAAGAAACACCTATGGGAGAGTCCCTGCTTACATCTCCACCCCAACTTTAAAACTTAGTTATATTTTCTGAAAACGTAAATAGTTGGATGGACTATCTTAGTCTTTTTGTAACTCAGATGCTTTTTTTTCTATGCTTCCATTTTATATTTTTAAGATATTATATGATATATATTTTATGATGGATCTGGTAAACAGAGAAATAGACTACTTTGGGAAGAAACCCATAAATTTGAAGCTATCTCTACTCTAAAGACAACCAGATTATCAAACAGAACTGATAGATAGCAAATATAAACTTTTCACTCCAATTATGGCCTTCAAATATGCTCTGTCAAGACCCCCTCTTCTACTCCTTAATAACCTTGAGCAGATTTTGAGCATACAAAAATCCATTCTATTTTAAACTACTCTCTGCATCCTCCTGTCTGTCACCACCAGCTAGGCCCAGAACCTAGGTAGTTGGAAATCAGAGGGGCTTGGACAGCTTGTCATCCATTCTTCTCCCTTCTCCTGGTAAGAAAAGGGAGGTGTCTTCTCCCATCCAGTTGGCACCTGCTCAAGTTCCGCTCACACTGTCATTCCTATGGCTGTGCTTATTGGTCACTGACATCTCCCACACGACAGGTGTCTATATCCAGAGTATCCCCTCGTATGTAATGTTTGATCACTTGTTGGGGTCATCTAGCAAGACCTCTTAATTGCATAGGTCCTTGACAATGGAAATTTCCTTCAACTCTGTGCTCTTACAAGCTCCCTAAGGAGAAGGCAATGGCACCCCACTCCAGTATTCTTGCCTGGAAAATCCCATGGACAGAGAAGCCTGGTAGGCTGCAGTCCATGGGGTCACGAAGAGTCGGACACGACTGAGTGACTTTAGTATATTACTACCATAAAAATAAAT